TCTCTCTCTCTCGTCTTCCCTTTCATTATGTATATTCCGAAGATTCCTTCGCGTTCCTTCTTGTTAACATTTCGTGATTCTGCATTCATCTTTTCATCATCCCAAACTGATTAAGTTTTCTCGAGTGATCCTTTGTAAAATAGTTATTATACAATCTACATGGAAATTGTAATGATTGCAGAAATATAACAAAAAATTTTCTTTGCAGTTAACGTTAAATTGAAATGATATTACTCTAGTAAAATTAACTTCGTGAGAAAGTAAGGAAAAAAGTATTAGAATTATCCCGAGAAAGTAACATAAGCTTTAATTTAAATATTCATGAAATTTCCATGGTTTGCTGATTACTATATTATATGCTAAATGTATTTTTTACTTCCTTTTTCATATTATGCTGCATAGTTAATTTTTAACTAGTTAAACTTATACCTATAAAAGAGCGCGAACCGCGAGAATTATATATAACAATATTTCAACAAATCTTTAACCGTCTAAAAAGTGGAATTAAAATAAAAAATCAATTAACCTGGAACCCATCGTCATCTCAATTAAAGCATCCTCATCTATTTCTTCAAACTATCCATTTGGTTAGAAGGAAGGATATAATTTTGCAGCGCATCCCCCGAAGAGTTAGTTCCGCAATGTACAAGTTTTACGATCCGAATTCGCGTGTCCGCCGGAAAAAGAAGGTACAAAAATGGGGAAAGGCAAAGTCAAACAAATCATACAAGATAACGTTAAGGCGCGGTGGCGACGACGACGAAGAATGTCGCGCGATCGGGGGTTGTTGGGTATCGACGATATACTTGGCACCGCGCTCGAGTCGAGTGGGTGGATATCTCTCACTCAACGGAGAGGAAACAAAACGAGTTCGTGAAAAGCGGAGTACACGGGATGGCGCTGCGAGGGCACATAGGTAGAGACGTCGCTGTGGTGGACGAAGAGGGACAAGAGAGAAGAAGAGAGAGAGAGAGAGGGAGAAGGACGGGCGAAGGGAAGCTGAACACCCTGGGGAGCCGACAGCTCGTTACGCGAGACATGGTGCAACTATCCCGACTCTCCCACCCTCTCTTCCTGGGGATTTTTCCTTCCCTCCGCCAATCTCCCTTTTTCTCGCTCTCCTTTTTTCACTCTGACCCGTCCCGTCGGCTTCTCCCTCGCCGCATCCTCTCTTTTCTCCCCGCGTCGTTCGAAGATACATCTCTTCTCGCTTTCTCCGTCTCTTACTCTCCCTTTTCTTCTCCTCGCGTCTTTATTTTCTCTAACTTCCGTGCGCGCCTCTCGAGCTTGCGGCGCGGTTGGAATAATATCCTCCCGCGTGTATAGCGCCTGTGTATCTTGCGTGCACGTATTACTACTCACAGTAACAAGTAGGTATTATACCCGGGGTTGGCGATATCATTATCGCCCCGGCTAAGGGGAGGCCGCGGCATCGCTTCAGGTCACTTTTCCGGATCGTGGTTGCGAGTTATCGCGTCGTACTATCACTCACATAGCTTGTATCTTTACCAATGAAATGGAACGCACGATTAAGCAGATTGCAAAAACACAATATGTATGTGGCACTTAAAGAAAAAGTAATGTTGACTATATTCGATTATATACGCAGACTATTACAATAGTATATTGTGTATCAAGTGCGGAAAGTTGACAATTGTTCACGAGTGAATACACATACTATTTTGTATTACAAGTGCAAGCAAAGTGGCTTTGTGCGCGAGGTGGCCGATCGCACGCCGCCATCTTGCGGCGTGGGAAATCGGCCGCTTTCCGCACAAAAAACACGCACACAAAGTGCCACTTTGCCTGCACGTGTAATACAAAATTTATTTTGCGATTTTATTGTTACTTCTCTATTAAAATTTATACTACCATGTATTATTTTCCATTTGAAAAATGTATTGAAATTGCAGAGCAAGTATTTAATAGAAAAAATAGAACAATCTTACTGACATTTTCTCAGAGATAATAAAGCGATACTTACTTTATTTAGAAATAAGATATACATTTTCTTACATAGACTACATTGTAAGTAAGTAGATTCTTCATTAAAAATGAATCTCTATAGTTACCGCGAGTATTCGTTTCTTCGGCTACAAAATTTCCAGACAATTATCTGAAGTGCGCCTTGCATCTCCTCCCCCAACTCAACCTCCTAAAAGCGGTAAAAATCCTTGCCGGAGCCTTTTTTCGTGCGTTCGTCGCAAAGGAGCAGAGCAAAGGAACAGAACGGTATAAAGCGAGAAAGAGAGAGCTCGGTAATGACTGTCGCTACTTTTCCGCCGTGTCGGAAGCGCATTGCGCCATTTCCGTCAGACCGGAAGTGCGGTAACAAAGCGCTTCCGGCGTGCGGTCTCAAGAAGGTTGTTACGACGAGCGCGGGAGCACCCGGTGACATTTCAATGAACTTTGCAGCGGGTATCGTTTCTCCTCCTAAAGTTCAGCGGGTCTAACGTGCGTTTCGGGTGTTGACGAGCCGGCGATATTAAGTGTCCTATTGTGTGCCTTCACGAACGAGCGATATTAATTTGACTCTCCTAATCATCGAAATTAAGCCGCGCATAATACCGGACCATTAAACACATTCTTATAAAAAGACGAAACATATTCAAGGAAAGCTTCAAGAACGAGATTAATATCTCCCTTTAGTCTAAAGAATAATAACGTATTCCATTCTGTCTCAATTGCATCATTATAAATATATATATATATATATATATATATATATATATGTAGCAGGACATCAATACAGTCTGAAAATGTTAAATGAATCGTATCTCTTTTCCATTTGCAGCAAGTTATCGAGCTAAACGTATAAAGGATTTCTTGGTATTGTTTTCAACCTCAAAGCGTGCATTGCCAAAACTTATTCAAACCTTTGCAGTACGAAAGCACGGAATAAAGGTGGGGCCCGGAGAAGCCGGCGCGTTATTTTATGAAAATTACATTTCTCGCGTTTCATATCCGTTTCCCAAAACGGTAGATCTGACTCGTATATGTTACATCCGTTACTCGTATATATTACATGCATCGCACTGCTTGTGTTATTTCGAACACCATGTATTCGCACATTAGCTTGCGGGACGGCTTGCGGTATAAATTTCGTATTCCTGAAAGTTTCAGAACTTGAAAGTTTCAGTTCCAGAAACTCCGATTATAAAGTCGTCAATCGGATCAAAGCAAGATTAAATTATTCAATCAATATTAAGAAAATATCTTATTGTTTGTAATTCATTACTTTATTCTATTATTTACAAATGTAAATTTTATGATGTTTATTAAAACAGTGTATAAGTGCGATGTAATATCAAATAAAACGTCTAATTAGATTTTAGATATTGTTCTAAGATGAAATAAAATATCGTATCGATCATAATAATTTTAACTAAAATAAAACGTTTCAAATCATTACTTTACAAAGACTTAATAAGAAAAAAGAAATATATATATATGTGTGTGTGTAGAGGTTATTATTTTTCTAATATTAAAGCATTCTTTCGAGAAACCTTGTCTGCCTCGAAAAGTTATATCCCCATCTCTTATATTTATTCCAAGAATATTTTACTTCTCTCGCAGCTAAAGTTCCAAAGTCGAGATTCGAAATTTTGGCACTGAAATATTCTTGCGTTTGTGATAGATGAGATTTAGTCGGAACTTCCAAACAAAATTGTCATATATGCAACATAAAAGTGACATTTGTTCCGATTTCAAGTCTATGCCAAAAAGAGTGTCCTATATATTTCTCTCATGATTCGAAAATTTATTTTTCTCGGCTCTCCCGCGGCAAATGTTTCATTCACTTTCAGGTTCGTCTGACACTTTCCGATTGCTGAGACGCGTGATTACCGGCGGCACTCGCTGCGTCGTGATTTCGGCCACACGCGCGTCGTAAATTATGTCCCTTCGGATTCTGCCATCGAAATAAAACGCCGTGAAGGGTGGCCGGTCGAGAGGGTCGAGTGTGATGGGGCTGTGGAGGAAAGAGGGATGGCCGCGCGCGCACGCGTCGTAAAAACGTATAAACGCGACGATGGACAAAGGTAGGAGAATAGCCGCACACCGGGAAAAGGGAAAGAGTACAATTAAAATTAGCGCAATTCAGTCACTCGCCGGTAATTCGCGTCCGTGGCATTTATATTATTAAGTCGCGCAAATTTTCTCTCGCCACTTTACCGTTGTCGCTTCTGTGTGTATGCGTGCACTCGTGTACAATTTCCTCTATCCCGCTCGCTCTATCAGCTATACACCTCGTTCTAGCTTTACAGTTTCGTCCTTTGCGCGGGTCTCCTTGATGCGGCCGAACGTCGCCGCGATTATCTAGCCAGCAAGGAAGTAATTCCGGGTTTCGAAATGAATTACGTTTAATTGCTCTTATTGCGGAGAGACGGCTTTATTATTCCCTCTTCAATCACGTCCTCTGAGCGCGTCATCATTCGACTTTTTAAACCGGTGCCCCTTCCCATCTCGCCTCTCTGCCACTGTTATACCGTCGCGTTTCCACATTCGTGGCTTTTTCTACGCACGGCAAAAATAGCGAGTTCCAAATGAACGTAACGGCGAGCCCCGGCTACGAGTAATTCTCGTTAACCCACTATTTTACTCCGCCACGCCGTTGGGGACTGATATGATAAACGTCAGCGTTCACAAATGGACGAACCGTTTCGATTTCTCGCGTTAGAATTGCTTCCGATAAAGTTTGCATCCGTAATGGCAATTTTTAGCACTTCGGGCGTTTACGAGATTAAGCTATCGATAGTATCGGAGATGATATGGCGCTTTGACATTTTAATGCTTTCAAGCTTTGACGCTATTATCCATATAATCATGTTGATAATATTTTTAATTCATAATTATTAATTGCTACTTATAACATTTGTTTCTGTAAAATTCTTGTAGGCACAATCGAATATTAAATGACAAACGATGAATAAAGAGAGAGAGAGACTCGAACCGTAATAACGACATAGAACTTGTGATGTTAATATACAAAGCTTTCTTACCTTTGGATGTGTTCTCCTAGGAAATGCTACCTTTGGGTCGATCTGAAACAGAGAAACGGAAAGGAATTAAATAAAATGTCTAAAACCTAATAAAATACGTAATAAAAATGTTTTATATGTAACAATAAAAATCTGTATTTAGCAACAACTTGTTTAAATTTTTCAATAATAAATCCCAAACAAACTGCCACATAATCCTGGAGTTTCGCTACAGCGATATAACCTGGAAAAGAACATTACGCGCCACATGCGAATTCAAACTCGGGGACAAATCTTATTCGCCTGCGAGTTTGCGAGGGCAAAGAGAAGAAACAAATATGAAAATACGTATTATACGCGAGCGCAGTGGGAAAACGTAGAGAAAAGGGAGGAAACAAGAATGAACGAACGTACAAAAGGGGAAGCTCTCTCGCCGGACTGTTTTCCCAGTTGAAATCCCCATTACAATTAATTACATAGTAATAAAGAGTAGGTGCTCTCGAGAACTCCGAGTCGACTAACCGAACTCTCGGTTACCTCTGCCGCGCCACCGCCTCTTTTCACTTCGCGGACCATCCCGAGGGAGATGAAACACACCGACTAAGTCGAACGTATAAGCGCACCTTATGTTCCGCGCTTCACTAAAAAGCGAAGGCCTGGGAACCCTATACGCCACAAAACCGAGGAACTTCCGGCGCGAGAGCCACGTAAATTTCTGGCGCGGCGAACCGATTCAAACCGGCTCCTTTTTCTTTCTCTGTCGATTCCTGTACGACAAACGCTTTTCGCCGTTTAAAATTTTAAAAAGAGAATACAATTATTAATCAATGCAATTGTAACATTCAATGATAGATTAAGAGATATTTGGAAATTTTGCAGGAAATTGAATTTGAGGGAATTTTAGCATCTCGAGATCTCGAACAAGCGCTTCAAGTTGCGACAATCTTTTTTTCAAAAATTATTATAATGACGAATTATATTTTGCAAAAATAAAAAGCTTTAAAAAAATTATACGCGATCTGCAATATTTCCAATGCGTTATATTAAGTAAAAAAAGTTATTTATAACAATATTTTTATAGTATAAATTGAGTATAGTATAATATAGCATGTATATTTTTTGATAACATAAATTGTGACATTCTGTTAGAATTCCTTTACACGAAATGATATTTTCGCGAATATATTGCGACCTAGGTATACTCAACTCTTCCATCGACTGCAAAGCGATGTGAGTAGATTCTATGTCACAGATTCAAATTCAGAATTGTATATCTCGTCAATATCCATAAAGTGTATTTTCGAACGCTCTGGTCGAATCCCGAAGACCTAATCTCGAATTCCCCAACTGTTGCCGATTTCGATCAATAAATGGAGCTACGTTGATTAGTCTACATTTGGATCAGATGACTTCTCTATTACATGATTACGTTTCAACTACTCATCTGTACTATACTATATTATATTTTGTTTTGTCGATACGAATCCATCATTTTGATTATTAAAAGTTTAATCTCGATTCTCTCAGTTTACTGCATACATGTTGTAATATTGGATTAACATTTATAAACCGATTAATTCTGCTATCAATTTATATTATTTTTATTAATTAAATAAATCTAAGAAAAAAATCTCATAAAACGAAATCATATAAATTCCAAGATCGGAATAAAATTATAATTTACTTGCTTCTTATCTCTCTTTCTTGCGTAATTTTAATTAATAAGTCATGCGACAAAGATTTTACTAAGAATGAGGGAATGCATTACGAAAGGTATTACTACAATTTAAATTTAATTATACGCGCAATTATTATTAAATAAAGATACAAGTTTTAAGTCACTTATAAGTATGCAAAATAGAAATTATATATTCGTTTGTTGTAAAGTTAAATATTGATCAAATAAATTATTTTGTATGCGCATGTATTAACAAATAATCTAATTAATTTATTACATTATATTAGGAGCTTTATACTATATATAGTATACGCATTAAACTTGAATTATACTTACAGTACCGTGAGATAAATAACATCATGAACATTTAAGCTCGCGGAAATCTACGAGAGTATTTATTGTTAACACCAGCATTTGCTGAGACCCTTACCATCCTACTTATACACGATGAAGGGATCAGCCGATTTCACCAGTTGTTCTAATGCTAAATGAAACAACATCTGTATTCTCGATGCGCATTTAGTGCTAAACGTGACTACCCAGTTCCGAGTTTCACCATGCCACATTACCACCGTTCTGCTAACTATTACAAGAGAGTCATAATTCTTTACAAATTATATTTACGACAGAAAAAAGTATACACGTGTGTATAAATGCATATCATTACGCTGTAAAAAAGATTAAAATAAATTAATATCAGAAACGTGAAGAGATTTTCATTTATCTACGTGTTATTTGAAAGATTTGTTTATAAGATAACACCGATGAATATTTTCAAAATATTGACAGACGCTGTCGCTCCCGTTCATACTCAAAATCCTTCACGTTCGTTTCATCCGGCGCTCTTTCGCGATCTCGAATTATTTCAACAGATCGATACGAGGCTTCCAGCGAACGCTTGTAATTAGCTTTGAGAGTGTCATCGGAGCGCCATTAAAAAAAAAAAAAAAAAAAAAGGAGAAAGAGGAAACAAAAGAGAATGTTATTCTCGTATGCGAGAACCGAGAGAGGGGACGAGTTTTACTATTCCCAAGCTTTCTCGTAACAGAGAGCGGCCGGCACCCCGGGCGGTGGAAGCCACGAACGTGGTAATGACAAGCAAGAGAACCCGCCCGCCGTCACCGTCATCATCCACCCCGACGACGCGGTTTCCTCTATCTCTCTCTCTCTCGATCTCGGGAACCACTCCCGTTTGCATAATCCCCTACGGCGAAGTTCACACCGGTCGCTCGCACGCTCCCGGACGGAGAGGCGTCTCGACATCGTCGTCAACGATGACGACGACGAAGAGTCTTCCCATCGTTCTTTCGCTTCGGTAATACCTCTTCTTCTGATCCCGCCTGCCGATACGACGAAAGGGGTAGGCGGGGATGAAGGAAGAGTACGTTTGAAACTTCGCTACTGCACCCGCAGGAGCTATTTGCAACGGATTTCGTTGTACGTGTCGTACGTCGGATACGAAGTTGCGTGCTATAACTATGGTTTGGGGTATATAGGTATATATGTATATATATAACATGTATATAGACTGAGAAACAATTCCAACGATCGTTTTTGCAGGTGCGAGGATAAAAGGGAAAAATTGGAATCATCAGATATTGAAATGAATGAATACGTTTGAATAAATGTAGATTTCCCAGCTACTATTCTTCCCTTTCTACCCTCGATCGCGTAAAGCTTTAATATTTGATTAGATTGGTTTAGTTTGACTAAAGCTATTCCGTAAATTCTATTTTAATGTACTCGTAATCAATATGCTTCTAGAATCCAAACTTTTAATTCAGATATCCCCCGGAGATTCAAATTGCGTTTCACGGTGATAAATATCAAGAAGATGATATCTGTCGTAATCACTTTTTCTCTATCTGATGTAATAAACGTTTGTCAACGGGACACAATTCGTGGCCGTTCGATCGATCAACGTGAGAGCTTTCGATGTCGCATTCATTTGATTCGTCTCACCAAACGATAGTTTTGCGAGGACAGAGAGTTGGTAACGAGGAGATAGAACGAACGAACGAAACGGAGAGAAAGATAGAGACGAAAAAGAGAACGTAGGCGCGTGGAAACTGGGGAGGAGAGAAAGAAGAGAACATTGTTGGGGAACGGAGAGGGTAGCATTACCGAGAAAAATCGAGAGGCTCGAAGCCATTTTCGCAAACATAACCCAGTTACCCGATATCTCGCGAAATGATCGGCCGCCAACCGTCGTCGTCTTCGTCGTCGTCGTCGTCGTCGACGATAGAAATTCAATCTGGTTGGCACGCCTGGAAATTGGAAGAGCCACCTACCCCTGGATGCTTCTACCCTGAAGGGGCGCGGTAGAAAGGAGAGCCTCGAGTCGGATCGGGAGCATTTGGAAAAGTAATTCACGACGCCATTCTTCGCGTGTCCCACCATCGCGACCGTAAGCGGTCTCCCTCCGAAACCTCAACTCTCTCTCTTTCTCTCACCCTGTTACTTCTCCCACGGCGAACTGCATCCGCGGATAACGCGAACGAGAAATTTCACAGGCGAACTCGCGCTAATTCCGTAGGAATTCGAATGCTGGTTAAACTGTTATACGAGGTATGTAGCCGCGCGCTCGTACCAAAGACAGAAGAGACATAGAAATAGCCGGGGAGACCGTATAACGTTAAAGTTTCTATTATAACGTTGAGGGAACGAATGATTTGCGGCTTGAATTACAACGGCCGAATTCCAAAACTGCATGCACGTGCACTATTCGTCATTAGAGAGTGACGAAATTTATTTTTGAAAAGAAATTTCCCGAATCTAACAATTGACGTCAAAGCACATTTACATTATCAAAGAGCGATCCGATTATTCTAATGTCTTCAGAGTTCTCTGTAGCGATTCCTGTTGCTTCAATTATATTTTAATAAAATGAGAAAATACGATTTTCTTAGCATGATGGAAACAAGTAATGTTTCCAAGAAATGGATCCATTTCTTTCAGTAATCTCGTCGATTGTCAAATGCTTTTACAAAGACGAAATACTATAGCCTATTTATCCGCTCTACACGGTTTCCATTTCTACGAAGCGATTTTCTATCGACTCGTTAGCTATTTAAACAGAGAGAGAGAGAGAGAGCGCTTATAATTTATTTCTATCCCGAGCAGCCTCCGTTCGGACAACATCGAACTCGCGCAGGTATAGAGGCGATAGACACGGCGGGAATTCATCGGGGATGTCATATTTGGCGATGTGGGGATTTGGAGACGAGAGAATTATTATTAAATTTCAGATACACTGTGCCGATTCGTTTCCATTCCCAACCTCAATGGTATAGCGTTTGCCCGTCTCAAATATTCGGTTAATTCGCTCGGCAAATTAAAGGCAAATACGCGGCTGCGATTTTGCAACTGATCATTTCCGCTGGGT